ATTTCCAGGTTATTGATCAACACTTGACCTGAATTGTATCAAACATCTTCCCAAAGCATGGTGAAGGATTCCTTAATAAAGCTTTGCTAGTGGTCTGCATTCATGCCTCGGAATCCATTCCATTGCCAAGAATGGACATTGACTTGGTTATCCACCACCTGCAGTCTTTCTTGAACAGATTCTGCAGAATATGTTTATTTCTCTTAGAAATGTGCTGAGGGAAGACTTGTTATCTTTGCTTAGTGTTCTGTTTTGTTTTGTTTTCTGGTTACTTTTAATTGGTTTTGGCAGCGACACCTCAAAGCCCTTTTTGTTGCTTTTCAAAAAGCATCATAATTTTAAATTAACCCCAGATAACACAAGTGCTTGTCTATAGTTATATTCCTTTACTGATTGAGTTACCCTTGACTACCTTGAAAACCTTTGCCTTAAAAGTGTGAGGCTTTCATATCCAGGGGCTCGTCTTCTCAGGAAATTCAAGAATAGGTTTGTTTGTTGAAATCAGATGGCATGTTTAGTTACATTCAAGTAACCAGGCAAGTGAAAGAGATGCATCTGCTCCTGGGGTTTAGAGAAGGTCTCAGCAGTACCTGTTCCTAATTAACTTTTATTAGGTGTTCTGCTTCATTGGAGGCTCCTAAATTAAAGAGTAGTTTTAGACACAAGCAAATGAATGTTTCCTAGTCTAATTCCTCATGACTTTAGTTTTTAAATATGTTAATAGTAACTGTTAGTCCAGGCAATAACCAAGACGCTTCTTGCTCCAGAAGTCTATGATTTCTTATTTATGTGACTATAAGTACTTCCTAGAGAAAGCTTGTCTTTACCTGGCCAAGCATAGAAGTTTTTCTTCTCCCTTGTCTGTGGCTTTAATTTATTTTTCTTTTCCAGAACACAGCTAGTTTACTAACTGTTTTCTTGAGTTGCCACCTTGAATCAGAATCTAGGAATTGTCAGGAATTTCAAAAATCCCTGTGGACCTAAAAACTAGTCTGTCTGGTACTAAGCAGGTTGATGAAGATTTGGGGGTCATATGGGTGTGACATATCTACTCCACCTAGGTTATTAGCACAATTATTTTCTCTGGAGAATTTTCAGTGATTGTTCTGATCTAACAAACTATCTTGCATTAACTTTTCTTCAGACCTCCCCTGCAAACCAGATTGCTGACTTGTCAGCAACCACTACACTGGAGGCTGTACTTCGGCCTATTTCCAACCAACCTATTTAATCTTGGAACAAAGGCTCCCTGGGGACCACAGCCCTGCCCTTATCCAGCACTCTGCCTCAGCCACTTTCCCTACATCTTCAGGCATTGCTTGTCAGGTACCTGCCAGTCCAAGTCTACGCCAGCTACGTGGGGATTTGCCATCTCCAGTTACTCAAAACAGCATTCTTTGCTGTCTTCATCTGACACCTGACTACTAAATTACTGCTTGTAGAACAGCACCCACCCTTTTGGTCCTGATTGCCTGTATCCTCACCACCTCCCTTGCACTTCCTAAGGGAAAAGGATCTCTTCCTAATATACACCCAAACAAGTAGAGTGTTACACAGCTCCTTTCTCATCAAGTGTTATTTGGAGTATAAAAGGAAGATATCTCTTAAGGCTTAATCACTAAGATTTTAGCAGGGTAGAGACAAGTAGATGGCAAGGTGAAAAAATACCCTAAAGTCAGACTTTTAGAGCTTTCCTAGAGTACTTTCCTAACTGGACTACTTTCTATACACACAGTATCTATGAACACTAGACCTTTCCTATTATTTTCCTTCTAGGAAGCTGCTGGGAGAAAGTCAAAGTTTCCAAGGAATAGAGAGAAACGCAACTGAAAGCTGAAGCAATGCATGGCCAACAAGTCTTATCTTTCTCCTCCCCCAGTTCACATCAGAAAAGACATTTTAGAAAGATAAGAGTTTGGGGACACAAACTGTCTCATAAAGAAACATATGAAGTAGCATAACGATACACACTTCACAGTCTCCATGAGAACTGTACTTTGCAGTAGGGTTACATGGGTTTTTAATTGCCTTAATGTCTATTTTGAAATTACGATGTTGCTGCTGCCTTTAGATCTATACAGTTAGCACACTTTACAGGAGCAAAATATGCTTGAGGTCCAATGTATTTCAATTCCTATGTAAACAGTACATGGTACCTGGAAGCCTTTTTAGAATTGCAAATAGAAAAAGGTAATTCTGCATCACAGTGTGTGTCAAAACTGCTGACAGACACACACACACACACACACACACACACACACACACACACACTCAAAACCACAACAAAAATAACGTTTTCTCCTGCACTTGTTCAGTAAAGCTGTTGGGACCATGTAGTGTACTTCTTTCTTTAACTGCTATTGACTTGTCCTGACAAGTAGAATAACCACTACCTAGGTGGCCTTTTTTTGTTCTGTTTTTTCCTGGAAAAATCCAGGGACATATGACTGGTAATCAGTAATTGCAAATTTTTATTCCTGACAGGTGGGGTTTTCTCTCTCTGGCCTTTAACAGCCCGTTTAGCTTCTCCAGCAGTTTACCCATCAGCAAAATGTAAATAACTGAATTAATGTGAATAAGGTGCTTTGAAGATGAAAACTGCTCTGCACTGTAAGTGGAAACAGAGCAATTCTTAGTATATTGAAGAAATATTTATTGAACTTAGTGTCAATTCTGTGCACAGCTCTTTAGAGATCACAGAGATGTACAAGACAAGGTCCATGTCCTCTAGGAGAGTCATTCCCATCTTAATGACAGATAACCTCCTGAATTGTAACTAGTTCAAAACTGGACTTGGTTAGAGATTACAAGGCTGAGCTTGGTGACATCTTGAAGATATAAATTGAGCAAAGGAAACTCTAGTTCATTATTCATGATAATGGAATAAACTTAAACAGTAAGGTTTGTCAGTGGTATTCAAACAGATGGATAGTCACTGAAACACCAGCCTTTTAGGATGCTCTGGGACAAGGGTGTTAGTGATTAATTAAATGGAAAAGGACTGCGTAAATATTCTCTTGAAGATTATTAATGAACATGTTTACAGCTTTCAACCCAAGCTGAGGGCCACATTTTTGGAAATCTTGTCTAAGTTGACCCCATTGAATATTTGCTTCCAAATAATCTGAGGGTCCTGCAAAATTAATATGAGTTTCAGAGGGCCAGGCTCAGTGGTTCACACCTGCAATCCCAGCACTTTTGGAGACCGAGAGGGATGGATCACGAGGTCAGGATATCGAGACTATCCTGGCTAACAGGATGAACCCTCATCTGTACTTAAAAAAAAAAAAATACAAAAAATGTAGCCAGGCATGGTGGTACATGCCTGTAGTCCCAGCTACTTGGGAGGCTGAGGCAGGAGAATTGCGTGAACCCAGGAGGTGGAGGTTGTAGTGAGCCAAGATCAAGCCACTGCACTCCAGCCTGGGCAACAGAGTAAGACTCTGTCAAAAAAAGAAAAAAAAGGAGTTTCAGAGGCGCTCAACTGATGCCTAAGCATGGTTTCAAAAAGAAATAAGCTTTTCTTAATAATACCAATAACGATATATTTAAATAAAACACATTAGGCCATGTTCATGCAAAAATATTTTTGGTCAAAATTGTATATTAAATATTATTAATAATTACATCTGGCAAAGCATTGGCCTTCCAAGACCCTGAATCCTCAACCAAACGCCTTGGGCTTCTGCTGGACTCTTTTCAAGTCTTCACCTGTAGGATATAGAAAGGAGGATTTTCGAACAACTTCAGCAGATTTTAAATGAAATTAAAGTCCTTTTTGAGATCATAATGCTGATAAACATATAAATGGTTAATCATGAAAACTTTATAAAAGCTGAACTTTATCTAATCCAGAGTTACCAAACTGGCCCACATGCAGACCACTTTTTTGTTTTGGTTTTGGTGACTTGGGATGTTGTTCATTTGTTTGCATGTTTTTCTTTCCCATGGGGCAGAATATAGAACATATTATACAACAGCATTCCTTGAGGCATGGGTTGAAACCTACTTAAGTAGAGGGTACCTCCTTAATTTCTAGTTAAGATTTTAATCCCAATTCTTTTGCTGCTCTCATATTTGAGAAGGTAGATTGGTTCTCTGAGCCCTGAGAAGCAGCCATGGAGATGGGGGTTTTGTGTTTTTATGGGCTTCATGTTGGTTCCTTCTGAAAAGAGGATGCCTAAGAAGGACATTCTTACTCCTTCTACTAAAAGCTGCCCCTGGCTTGTTTGTGCCCATCTTCAGAACATCCTTGATTGGGGCAGATCAAGAGAATTGAGGGAAGTTTTGAGCTGTCTACACAGATTGAATGGAGTGGGCCACTAAGAAATTCCCCCAGATGGAAAAATAGAAATCTTCACTCCTGCGCACATCAGAACAAGACGAGGGAGGATATCAGTGGAAAGAAGGGACAAAACTGTGTGTGGCCTTTGAAAACTTAATTACGGTCTCTAAATCTAAGTTCTTTTTTATCTGTAAAACAGGAATAATAGCCTGCTTATATAGTAGTTATGGAAGAAAAGTTGAGATGACCTATGTGCTGATCATAGTGTCTGGCATTTACAATTTCAAGTATTACATAGAAAATATATGTTTTGGAGTATGATATAGAAAATGTAAATTATATTCAGGTTCACTTAACTTTCAACTGTAATTCAATTGGTTTGTTTTGGAGTCAATTCAAGTAAAAATTCTCAAATTTGACATGGAGACTTTCTGCCTTACGTTAAAGTAAATATTTTTATTGTTGTTTTAAGGAGTGTCTAAAATGACTTTGTTAATACCTGGGCAGTACGTGATTCTAACATGCCCCCAAGTAGGCCCACCTTTTTTTTTTGCCAGGCATCTATGAAGATTGTCTTTTTTAAGGAACAAATTGGTCTAGCAACATAATTTCCAAATTCCATTTCATAGCTCTGTACATTAAAATTAATGATTTTGTTATTATATTAGGATCCATGGAGCATGGTTTATGAAACTTAGTTATTGTTTAAGCAAAATAAAATTTTCTTTAACTTGTTGACTCACCTCCGTTTTTGGATACCTGATAATTATTTTATTTAAAAACATAATCCTACATAAATTTGCACTTGATTTTCTACAATTTGTTTTCCATGTGGGAGAAAAGCTATGCTTTTAAACATATTCCAGTGAAAATCTGCTAAGGCAGTAGACTTCTCAGCATCTTGCTTCACTAAATTATGTCCAATTTTAGGAGAGAATGTGTATGGAGTAGTCAGAACTATATCCAATTATTTAGTTTAAGCAGATGTAACAGGTGCTTTGATCAAAGAAAGCCGCCTTTGCTTTCCTCCAGTTTCACATCGGTTGTACTTCAAAAAAAAAAAAGGTTTAGTATTGATATAAATTTCATAAAGCTGAGGTATTCAGATTGAATGATATCTCTTGTTTGTTTGCCTTTCTGTGACATCAGCTAAGATGTCATAGGATTTCTCTTGTGTTTTACCATCTTGAGAATCAATTTACCACCTTGAGGAATACATGTTTGATTTGTTGTTCATCAGAAATTTATTTATTTATTTAGAGTTGGAGTCTCACTGTTGTTGCCCAGCGGAGTGCAGTGGCGTGATCTTGGCTCACTGCAACCTCCGCCACCTGAGTTTAAGTGATTCTCCTGCCTCAGCTTCTTGAGTAGCTGGGATTACAGGCACCCACCACCATGCCTGTCTAATTTTTGTGCTTTTAGTAGAGACGGGGTTTCATCATATTGGCCAGGCTGGTCTTGAACTCCTGACCTCTGGTGATCTGTCTGCCTCAGCCTCCCAAAATGTTGGGATTACACGCGTGAGCCACCATGCCCAGCCACTTTATTTATTTGTTAACATCCTGCTTATTAAGGCTCTTTAGATTTAAACAATTTATCTTTTCTTGGAGTATTCTTTTTGAGCATCAGATGTGTATTCAGCAATCCCAGTGAGATGAATTTTACACCATGAGATCTATTTTATTTTCCTGTGGCATACTATTCTCATTTTCTTTGAAATCCATTGGTGTATATATTTCCGTAAATATTTCTAATTTAAACTCTGCCTTTCATTGCCAAAAGATAATGAGAAGGCCTGTGTTTTACTCACATGTTTCCTGATGATATTGTGTTAGAATACTTTAAAATGCATCAGGATGAATTTTAACTCAATTGGCTAAAGCATCAAAGAATGTATATTATGGACTCAAGAAAAGTTGGTTGCAGGAAATGAAAGATGTCATCATGATACATAGGCTTTCTCCATCTCTTTTTCCTTTTTTCCTCCACGCTTTGCCCTGGTACCAACAAACTTACATCTTCTCAGAGATATCTTTTCACTTATAGCTCCTCCCATGTGCCAGGCAATGTTGAGCAGCACAAACATCTCAGATATATTGGTTACTGGGTAAGAAAAAAGATACGGTATATCAAGATATCTCTGCTCAGCCTGGTAGCTACCATATCCTTTTTTCTTACCGAGTAACCGATCTTTCAGCTGTTTTACATATTGAATAGTGCTGAAGGAAGACATCTATGATGAAAAGATAAGGGAAGCTGCAGAAAAAAATGAAAGTAACTGGGAAGTAAAATCAAGGAGAGTTGTTTTGACTAGGCTCATTTTTGCTCGATGTTCCTTGTGAGGTGTTTAAAAGCCCTTTGCCATCAGGCTAAGCTGAATGAAAACTGTTCTTCTCTCCCCGACTCTTTTTCTTTGGCGTCTTACCTCATCTGACCTTTACTGTACCCCAAAGGAAGTGAAGGAATATTTTATTACAAGTTGAGACTTAGGGCCTGTTTCTGATAGGATCAAACACAAAGCATAAAGACTTTCCGTATTGTATATACTTCATCATCATTCTACGGCACAGCCACATGACTTCCTAGTCATTGCTATATTCTAATTTTGTGTCTCCTATATTGAGAAATAAGCGATAAGACATATAGTAAGGTACCTATAAAGAAGGCACATTAAATTGATACCTACTGCCAATTTCCTGTGGAGCCCTGTTGATGACGTGAAAGAGGATGAGAAGGTATTGGTAAATTTCAGAAAACCCAACTCTAACAGCTAGGCAAAATGATATTAGAAACATACATGTTCTCACAATCCTATTTCAAGTGACAGAAAAAGAAACCCTGTACTTTTTCAAGCATGATTTTAATCAGGTTTTTAAAAATTTTAGGTTATGTATGATTTATGTACTAATACTTTAAGTTTTGCTCATATTAAAAATATAGAGCAATGTTTTGGTGTAAAAGTAAAGTAGCTATTAAATAGAGAATGTATTTTTTTCTTTTTTATTTTACCTTGCCCTTTTAAGATTCCCTTATATTTAATTCAGATTGAACTCCTGTCATATGTTTATTTGATAGGGTCTGATTCACATTATCTCCCTAGTGAATGGAGGAACCAAGAGTGAGTGGGGAACTGCAAAACAGAGCTATTAAATTTATATTTACTGCTAATCATTTCAACTCCTGGCAGGCAGCCTAATTGCAAGCACAAAGAGAATGCTCATGAGAATCATGGTCATATAACTTGTTCAGTGACTTTCACTAAGACACATGGTTTGTGAAAGCTCCAGGTTTATTGGGAGAGTAAATATTATTGCAGCTTGAGTTTTCTTGTGCTGTTTCTAACTCAGGATTTATGAAATATAATTTAATGAAATATATAATTTAAAGAGATGAGGTAAAAATGTGATTACTATCTTCCCATCCTGTCCTTTTGGGGCAGGCAGCAATGCATAAGGTCTTTAAAAGGCCAAAAACTAATCTAGGGGTTTTTCTATGCATAGTTTCCATTAATGTTAATGACTTTTTCTGGGCACAGTTTCTATTAATGTTAATGAGATGTTCTCTTGAAGAAAAGGGATGAAGAAAGAAAAGAAAACTGTTCTCTCTTTATTTGCTTCAAGTATTTTCTGATGTAGGCTTAGAATAAATGTCTAATAATGAAGTACACTGACTCCAAAGACAGAAAATTATTCACCTCCTATTTTTGCTTCTATTATATCTTACTTGCTTTTTTAAAATTATTTTTTCTATAAATCTCTAGGGAATACGATGACTATATCAGTTATATTAGCAGTACCAACATTTTTCTCAACCAAAAATCCCCATTACATTTAGTATATTCCAATAAGATTTTTATTTTATCTGCTGAATTTTACCTGTACCCACCACTTAAACAGAGTGCATGTTATAATGATGGAGCAATAGTTAAATATTAAGGGAAGGTGAATTATAGTCAGAAAGAAGAAGATAGGAAAGGTGTTTTCTTGACATTTATTCAGGGTCAGTCAAACACACCTGCAGCAGAAAAAGCAATGTTCTAATATGTGCTGCATGCCCAATATATCAATTTCTATATTAAAATTGTATGCCAAAAAGGGCATATATTTAAAATCCTGCCTCGTGGCAGCATTTTCACTCAGTCTGGGTGCCAAAATGGATGAAATACATTTTTATTGCCAAGACTGTAGTTTTTCCTTTTCTACTATTGTTCCGGTTTTTTTCTGTTCTATGCTTCATTGAGTAAAACAGTATATTTCCTAATGGAGTAAACAGGTCACTTATAAGTTATTCATAATTTTCCCAAAACAAAAAGAAAAATGCCTGTTGCTCAAAAATCTTAGTTAGATTATACCCCACAAATGTGAAGCCAATTGATGAATTGTTTCAACTGCTGCAAAAAGGCCACCTCCAAAAAATATCCAGATTCTCCCATGTTACCCACGTATGAGTGTGAGCATATACATGCCTATACGTGTTAAACTCTATGGGAATTTTTCATTTTCTTTTTCTTAATTTTCTTTATTGCTAATTTCTATCTCATCTACAACTTGGTATTCATGCCCCTAGATCAGCATACAAATGAGAATTTCATTAACTTTAAAGCTTAACTGTAACCAAAAATGTTAATATTAAAACCAGGACCTTAGTTAATATTTTTATGGAAGGAGACGTGATTTTTCTTTGCTCTCTTGTCACTGGGTTGTCGTAGTTTCATCTGTCTTTTCATTTTCTGTCCCATTTTGAAAAAATATCTTGAAAAAGAAATAGCTGGATTGCTGTTAACCCCAGGATTTCATATCCCGCCGGCCTCGGTTTTTGGTACAAGGCCAGATGTATAATCTTATATGCTTAAAGGCACATAAGAGAGAAAACTCTGAAATTACACTTCTACGCTACTTAGAGACTTTGAATTAAAATAAAAAACAATGACAAAGATTATGTAGATTGCATTCAAGTGTGCTAATTTTGCGTTCAAATGCTGAATCTGAAATTTAGGACTACTGAGAACCAACATGGTGATTTCAAAGGTAATATTGCTGCCACATTTTTAACAAATCAATAATTGATTATAGGACTGTTACAGTTACTGGTATTGTGCTCAGTGTTAGGAGTATAAAGGATTAGAGGCAGTTCCAAAATAATAAATCAATAATTTATTATGTCAAGGAATAGTCAGAACTCATTTGCTATTGTTACTCATGTACATTCATATATATATGTTTGTATACATGTTACATACATACATATATGTTTGTTTACGTATACAAATGAGTTCTGACTATTCCTTGACATAATAAAGTATGAATAATTGTATGGTGAGTAGTGAATCAATAGAGTTATAAACTCAAAAATGCTGAAGAACTTCTAGATGCTAAGGTCATAGCAGGAGGAACTGGGATCTCTGAGGACCATTTTAAGATTAAAGATGTGGTAGTGAGAAGGAAAGATATATTTTAAACATTTTAAGTTATTTTGGTATATATTTCTTTGGTATATATTTACTGATGAAAGTATTTTTAAATAATAGTGTAAAAGTTAAATTCTTAAGTGATTTTACTTATAAGGCATTCTAGAAAAGCCAAAATTACAGGGAGGTAAGTCTGTTGAATGATTGTCAGGAACTGGGGTGGAGGAAGGGAACTGACCTGACCAAGAGGACACAATGGAACTGTTTGGGTTGATGGAAATGTTTTGTATCTTGCTGCTGTGGTGGTTACAACTATATGCATTTGTAATAATCACCAAACTGGATGCTTTAAAATTTTATGGTTCTGTTATTTTGGTCTGGTTCTATGTATTAACAATGGGAAGAAGTGGGCTTTCTTGAGAAGCCACTAGAATCTATATTGAAATATCATATATAGTATGAAAAATGATGTTCAGAGTTCCAGGAAACTTAAGTATAAAATAAGTTTCTAATTTGACTCTAAATTTCAATTCCCCGTTTAAGACAAGCCCTGACTACCAGGAGTCTAGAATTTAGTTAGGTAAAAACTTTATTCAATATTCTTATTAAGGTGAATAGTAGCCATCAATGTCAATTCTCAATCCTCATATTCATGGACTGTAAGCAACATTTTACATCATTGATCATTCCCTCCTAAGCAAAACGCTTGTTCGCTTAATTTCTAGAGCCATACACTTTCCTAGGTTTTCACCTGTTTTTCATGTTGTTTCTCCTTGGACTCCTTTTCTGGTTCTTCCTCGACGCCCCGAGAGCTCAGTCTGGGACTCTTTGTTTTTTCTACTTAACAGCCACTCTCCTGGAGATCCCATTCTCTCTCATTGCTTTTAATACCATCTGTCTGTGATACTTCCAGATTTTACTTCTATATTCTAAACTTGTGTCCCCTTTTTATTACCTGATTTATACCAACTTTGGTTGTCAGCAATTAATCTGATATTTCTTTCAAAATGTACCCTTTCCACAATACCCGTCTGAAGGATTAGCAATTCAATAGCAATTCAAGGCAACTCTCTGTTGCCATTTTCAATGGCCTTGAAACCATCTTGAGTCGTTTCTTTATCCTGCACCTCGCATCCAATTTTTCAGCAAATCTTGTTGCCCCTACCTTAATGTGACTCGATTATGACTAAAATGCAATAAAATTTGACCACTTCTTAGTATTCCAATAGTCTACTAACTGTTCTCTGTACTTGTGTTTTAGGCTTTTTTCAATCTATTCCCAAAGAATCTGAGAATGAGCTTTTTAAAACCCTAATCAGATTGTGTCAATTATCTGTTCAGAATCCTCTAAGGAGTACCTGTCTTGGCCAGAGTAAAGTCCAAAAGTTTTCCATCGACCTATGACATCCTGTACGATCTTGCTCCCCTCGCACACTTCACCCCTTGCTTTCCTCCAGACACGTGACCTGCTTCCTCCAACCGAATACCACGTTTGCTTTCTCCTCCAAGCCTTTCTGTGTAGTCTTTCCTTGCCCTGAGCGCTTTTTTCACCAGACATTAACATGGTTCTTTACGTCCTTTGATCTGTACAAGGTCACCTTTCTAGTGAGGCTTTCCCTGGCCACTCTTTCAGTGCCACCTGCTCGCTTCTTTTACGTCTTTCTCACATTTTATATTTCATTCACTTATTGAAGTTATTTTCTGTTTCTCCATTGTAGAAGGAAAGCTACAGGAGGACAGAGGTTTTTTGTCTGTTTCACTACTGTGTACCTGGCATTTAGAAAAGTGCCTGGCATATAGAAGGTATTCTACAGGAAATATAAGTGGAAATTAATATGATTACATTTAAAATTTACTACTAATAAATTGAGTATTAGAGATACTTTAGTATCTTATCACTTTAGGAAACAGAGAGAAGACAAATTTTTTCCAGGCTCAGTTGCTTAGGAAAGATTTAATGAAAGCAAATTACCCTGATATCTACCATGTAGAAGCTTTTCTTTTTTTTTTTTGAGACAGAGTTTCGCTCTTGTTACCCTGGCTGGAGTGCAATGGCGCGATCTCGGCTCACCGCAACCTCCGCCTCCTGGGTTCAGGCAATTCTCCTGCCTCAGCCTCCTGAGTAGCTGGGACTACAGGCACGCGCCACCATGCCCAGCTAATTTTTTGTAGTTTTAGTAGAGACGGGGTTTCACCATGTTGACCAGGATGGTCTTGATCTCTTGACCTTGTGATCCACCCGCCTCGGCCTCCCAACAGGCTTGAGCCACCGCGCCCGGCAGAAGCTTTTCAATAGGCAAATCAGTGAATAAATGAATTCCTTTAATATACCTGCATTCAACCCTAGGAATCACATGACTAGGCCTGATTACTTGATAATTTATTATGTGTTTGGAGTATGTGGAAAAAAGTATACCGAGAATAAACTTATTCCCAGTTTTGAAAAGAAAAGTCAGATTTCTCAAGGAACATTTGTTAATGGATGCTACCTCTGGGACCTGGAAATGAGTCTTTGTCCTAGCAAGTGTTGTGAAACACACTGAGACAAGCAACCTGATGCTAGGTGTTTCTATGCACACTTCTTCCATTTGAGGATGTGTTGTCAGATGAAATTGAAGTGTCTTCACAATCGCCAAACAAAGAACAAGGCCCCTTCATGTTTTGTGAAAACAGCAGGTGGGGATGGGATTACCATGCACTTTGCGTGATCCCGTCTGTACAGGCCACTGGCAAGAGGGCTTGTGGCCAGTCAGCTTGAGTTAATTAGAGTAGTCAAGTGTTAAGCATTGCTTCGGACCTCATTAATACGACTGCTCAGGGAAAAGGTTTTATTTGGAAAAATTAGCCTTTGCTGTCAAGAGCACTTAAAAGACATCTTTCAGCCTCTGGTGAAGATCTCAGTTTCTCCATTATCACCTCTGGTAACAGAAGAGAAGGTACTTTTGATTCATTGTCACATTCAGACAAGTGAAGAAAGATGCTTTTCAACAAGTGTGAATAGATTTTGGTAAACAAACGAGATTTTTTTTTTTTGAAGGGATATTTAAACAGCAAGTGTATTTGCTCTAGTGCAGCTTGGCTGTCTAGACTTGAAGGACTGTCTTTAGTTGTGTTCAGCATATGTTATCAGCAAACAGATTTACTATGAAAACACAGTAACTACACTACTTCCTCTGGAAATATTTTCTATATATGAGGAGATTCTCTGAAGAAAATTGCCTTTGCAGGTTTTGTTTATTTAGTATGTCCTTCTCCCTTCCGGTTGTATGCTGTTTCATATTACACTGTAAATAAGCCATAGCTTTATTGACCTCTGGCAATCTTTAGGAAAGTTCTATTTTGTGTGGTTTACTTTAGATTTGCTTTAAGTACGTCAATGATTCAATCTCACTAAACCTTAATAATAAAGTATTAGAATGTTTTCTTCCAAGAATAAAGTACTAGGATGTTTTCTTCCATACTAATCAAAAGAATCATTGTCTGTATCCTACAGTTTTGTGTCTTACTTTATACTCTCCTGGTTAAAAGACTTTCGTTGTGAGCATGCAATGT